CCTTCCTTCCTTCCTTCCTTCCTTCCTTCCTTCTTTCTCCTGACACCTCATTTACCCTCACTATAGCCAGAGTGATCTTTCTAATGTAATTCTAATCATGTTGCTCTCCCACTTAAAATTCTTTAATGTTATAATAACTTGTGAACCCTGCATGTTGACAGAGTGGGATTTGGAGTGGGTACAGGATTGAGGAGAGATGTTTAGGGGCAAAAGTGAGAACCATTCCAAAGACCAAAGTCAAGAAAAATCAAGTCACCTTCTGGAAGCTGCAGGTAGCTGAGTCTCTCTGGAGTGTGGGTGTGTGTGAGTGTGAGTGGGGAGTGACTAGCAGGGGATGATTGACACTGGGAAGATTGATAGGAAAGATGGTACAGGGCCTTGTAACCATGTTAAAAAGTGCATACTATAAATCAGAAGAGTCCTTTCTGTGCCCCTCAAATCCCACCACATAGTGGCTACCTATAGGGACTATGTGAGCAGAAAAGGAGCATGAGGAGGGAGGCAGTCCTTGCCCTCAGGAGATTGATGATCTGAAAGAGCCAAGCCTGGTGGCTGATTGCAAAGGACCATGCAAATGATTGTCTTTTTCCCTGGAATCCCCTTTCCTCCCTTGGCCATTGGAAGATGCCTACTCATCTTTTCTAGATGCATCTCAAAACTCATGTACTCTGGAAGGCCTTTCCTAATAGCTTTAGGCAGAGCTGAAGGCTTCTGCTTCTGTAGGTCCTTGTTCATACTCCAACTTTATCTCTTTTCTTATTCCTAAGATTATCTCCCTATTCATCTATCTTCCTTTCTTGTTAGTCTACCATCCTTGTGAGCACTTGGGGGTTGGTGGAAAGGACCAAGTTCTGTTTAGCTTTATATTTCCAATGTATTATACAGTGCCTGGGAAGGTAGAAGGTTCTGGCATGAATGAGTAGAGATGTGAAAGATTATATATCTATTCCCCCTTCCCCCTGAAGAATGTCCAGGTGTGCTTGGAGCATGGCATGATGGTGTGTGTAATGGGGGATGGGCCAGGAGGGGCAGGGCAGGCCATGGATGGGTGTTGGGAGACGAAGTAGTTCAGAAAGGCGAGCAGGGGCCAGATCGTGAAAGGCCCTGTATGCATGTTAGACAATATTGTCTTCATCCTAAGAACAGCAGGAAGCCACTGGATGGGAGTAACTTGGTCAGATTTCTTCAAACTGATAACACTAGCTGCAGTGTGAACTGAGGACTTTGGAGGGGGACAAGATTGGCAGCAGGGAGGCCAGTTAGCTCTTATCTAGGCATAAGGTAAGGATGCAGATCGTGATGGTGTCATCACCAGGATGGGGATGTTTGAGCCTCAGGGGAGAGAGGGCTATTTTTGAGCCAAGGCTATAAGAGGAGCAGAGCTGAGGAGGAGGTTTGCAAATGGTCCTTTTTGTGTGGAAGGGGCTGGAGGGTCATCCTTCTGTTACTTTGGCCACATCCAGAGATGGAGAAGGGTGCTGTTCAGCAGGACTGTGGAGCAAGGGGTGGGGTGATGAGTAGGGCCATGGGGTCTAAATTTCAAGTTTGGTGCCTCAAATTTTGACTGTTGTCCTGGGTCGGATTCATGCAGGAAAGCAGGATGAGACCTCAGTGTAAGTGTGGACCCTGATCGAAATGAGTACAAAAAGCTCCGGCAGCAGGCGATGGTGGGAAAACTGGAGCCAAGGGACCAGGAGACACAGTCTAGAGCAAGGCCAGGCCAGACTGGGCAGAGAAAGAGCAGGAAGTGGGTCCACCAGGCACAGAGGAGGATGAGGGCTCTCCTCTCCCCTCACCCTATTGCTCTAGAAGGCTATGAGGGTCTGCACAGTTGGAAGATGAGCTAGTCACACATGGGGTGGTCAGTTGGGGTGGTCATTTGGGAATCTGGGCAAAGGCTTGGGACATAGAAGGAGTCCCTTTGACTGGACAATCAATGGGCTGCCACCAATGAGTTATCTTTACTCAGCGACACCAGACAATAAATGCTGCTCCTTGAGCCCCACTGTCTGCGGCTCCCTGTTGACCAGTGAAGTCCACTGGAAGAAGCTCAGAGGCCTTCCTCTGACCACCTCACATGTGTCTATGTGGCCCCACACCTCCACCTAGCCCTCCGTGTACCACTTCAGCTTGTGGAACTTCAATCGTGTCTGGGATAGAAGGAAATTAGCTTTGCTAATAGTATCTGAATATTCCTGTCACACCTTGATTGGCAGATGTTTGAAATAAGAATGAACTACATTTGATTTTCTGGGTCTCTAGTGACAAGAATAGGAGGGTCCCACAGCTAGATGAAGTATGTTCTAGCCAGAGGGAAGAACACATACAAGATCCTGGGCTGGGAGGGAGTATGGGGCATTGAAGAGACTGAAAGCGAAACAGTATGGCTGGAACTCGGGGATCCAGCAGGAGATGTGAGAGATGAGGCGGAGATGTGGGCAGACGAGCTTATGAAGGGTCTCACAGCCTGAGGGCGGTGGGAAGCACCGGAAGTCTCCACACGTGAGGGCTACCTTGTGGAGAACAATGAAGGGGAACAAGGGTGGAAGCAGGGGAGCTGCTGGGAGGCTACTGGAGTAATCCAGGTGAGGAGTTAGCTTGGACTAACGTGGTAGTCATGAAGGCAGTGAAAAACAGATCCATTGGGGGGATATCTCAGGGGTAAAATTCACGGGATTGGTGACAAATTGGCTATGGGGTCTGAGGGAAGAAGGCTATCAAGGCTGCCTGTAGATTTCTGGTTTGTGGACTGAGTGTACTGTGGTGGCCTTCATAGCGATAGAGAACACTGAAAAAGCATCATGTTGCAGAGAAGATCATAAGTTTAGTTTTGGACATGGTGGTTTTGAGGGGCTCTGAAGCATCTAGGTGGCGATGCCAGGTAGGCAGGGGGATGTGTGACCTGGTGGCTAGAGGAGAGTAATGGTTAAAGGTAAAATTTTGAGAGCCGTGAGCATATAGGTGATTATTAAAGCCACGGGAGTGGATGAGAGCGCCCAGGGAAAGAGTTAGAGTGTAGAGAAGAGGCTCCAGGTCCAAGCCTTGTGAAAATCCATCAAATTGATCCCAAGACAGGTAAGCCATGCCCCCGCCTCATGGCACCCATAGCCGCGTGAGGGTATCTAAGTCAGGAACACCCAGGGATCCGTTGCTCAAGGCAGCATGTGCCAAGAGCCAAGTGAGTGGTCCATGAAGGAAAAATGATTTCCAAATGGGTAACATGTTCCGTAGGCTGTGTATGATGGCTTTTACTTCTGATCAACCTCAACCCACCACTTCTCAGCTTCTTAGGGGATTCCTTTGGAGTGTGTTCACCTGCCCTATCCTTCCTGATGGCCAGGCTTCATTCATATCCCCCCTCAGCCTTCGTCTCATGGCTTAAGCCAGACCCCTTGGGTCTCTCCACATCTGTGTCATTAGTGCCTGCTGTGTCTCTCTGGAGCTGAACGACTGAACCATAAGCTGTGCTCTAATCATCAGTCGGGGTGAGAGAGTGGGCACGGAAGCAGGGCCCCAGGCAGCTGTGATCCATGTGTCAGAGGGCATGCAGAGGGAGCAGCCAGGATGGCTAGTGGGGCCCTGGAGGCCAGCCTCAAACCCCAGGTGGCATATTTGGGGGAAGATGGCTCCTGGATAGTGATTTGACTAAAGCTTTGGGCTGACTCTGAATCTGGGCTACCCCGAGTCACAATTGTGAATGCAAATATAGCTGTCAAGGAAAGGTGGACCTTGAGTGAGCATCACCTTAATACCTGCTTGGGTAAATATCAGGAGGGTCTTAGGCTTTTTAGACATGCATCTGGAGGTTTTCAGGTCTGCCCTGGGTGTAGAGTCCTGTTGTCAGTTTTGCCCCGGGCAGCAAGGCATGAAGGGAAGATGGCTGAGGCAAGACTAGGGACCAAGGAAGGAAGACCCTCCCTTGATGTCCTGAGCTGGAGAACCCCTGTTGCACCACCAGTGTGCATGCCCACTCGTGCTCTTCTGTGTTCTGTCCCCAGGGAGTGCCTTCGAAGCCACCCATCCTTCAAGACCAACTTCAGGCTCAGTTCCTCTGGAAACCTACTCTGGCCTTCTAGCCTTTCCTGGTCTCCCACAATATAGACTAGAGCCCACAATACAGAAATAAATTGTGAAAGCTTTACCCTGCTGGTTGTAGGTGTGTTTCCTTCATGTCAGCTCTATATTCATAAAGAGATGCTAAGTTTCTCAAGTGCAGGGACCAAATCTTCTCGGTTTACTGAAACTGTCCAGCAGAGAGGTGGGCACAGAAGGCGCTGCTCCACAACCTGGTGACTGACCAGAGCTCTGTTTCAAGAGATCAGGAAGAGCTGTGTTTTGTTCGTTCATTCATTCATTCATTCATTCAGCAGGGGCTAAGGGCTGAGCTGGATGTGTAAGGTGTGATTTCTGCTCACAGGGAGCTTAAAATGAAAATAGTAAGAATAATTATAATAGTCGCCTTTTGTTGCACACCCTTAGGCTAATGACCATTCTGGGTGCTTTGCGTGCACATCTCTTGTTCTCATTCTTGCTGTAATCTTGCAAGATTGGGATTCTCCTCATTTTGCGGTTGAAGAAACGGGCTCAGAGAGGTCTCAGAGCTGGCGAGTGGCAGAGCTGAGGTTTAAGCCCAGATGCCCTGGGCTGGGCTGCTCTGCTTGAAGGAGTGTTTCTCAGAGGCAGGAATAGATTGAGTCTGATCAGCCTCAAGACCTTGGCAACTCGTGGGCCCTGTCTGGGGCTTTGGTGTAGAGCAGAGTTGGAGTGATTCATCTCGCAGTCCCCTCCAGTTGAATGTTCTGCAGTTCCACCACGGACTGTGTTCCTTTCCCAGCACTGCCCTCCTGCTGTAGGTTGTTGTGGAGGCAGCAGGTGCACGGGGATCCTCAAGGGCATTGGAGGCAGCCCTTTTGTCAGAGGGCGCCCCTGCCCTCAGTGTTCCCGCTGTTGGTCTGTCCTTGCTCTCTCCTTGAGGGGCATGGGGGCTGGCCGGGGAGCCAGCTGGTCTGGCTGCCCCAGAAGAGGCCCTAAAGCCTAAGCCTTTGGCATTAATTCAAGGTGTCTCTCCAGGCAGTGCCCCACCCACCCTGGCTCATCTGACGCCACCTTCTCCTCTTGTCTGGGAGTCACAAGAGATTATGACAGCCATCACCCGATAGAGCTCCTGCTGGTGGCTCCAGGCCCTGTGTGTGTGTGTGTGTGTGTTTGTGTGCGTGTGTGTGTGTGTTTAGTGGGGCAAGCTCCCCCACCCCCGCTTCCTTCTACACTTTTCCCTCCCCTGTGGCCAGTGTGACCCTGGCTAACTATGGCTGTGAGGACTGACCGGGGAGGCAGCTGTGAGGAGACTTGGCCATTTTCTTAGGGCCACGCTGGTGTCTGTCCCTCAGTGCCTGGGTCTCCCTCTCAGGTTTCCCATCACCTGAAGCTGTTTTGCCTCGGTTGTCTTTCCCTCTTGCAGATATTCCCCTGCTCCCTGGCTCCCCACGCCGGCTGAGGGGAGGGGCCAGAGGGGGCCAGGGCCCCAAACATGGACAGCAAAACCTCAAGGTGCCGGGTCCCCGAGCCCCAGGGCTGCAGGGCAGTTCCAACCAAGATTCTGGCCAGCTCTTCAGTGGAGGGAGCTCCCACAGCAGCTCTGTGAGTACAGGGGTGGGGTTGGCGTCAGATGAGGGGTGGATCCCCCCAAGGGATCCTTTCGATTGGGGACCGTCCACTTGGGGAGCAGGAGTGTGTGTGTGTGTGTGTGTGTGTGTGTGAGAGAGAGAGAGAGAGAGAGGCCCAGGGTTTTTGTTAGGGCCTTTTCCTCTCCTCTCTCTCCAAGTCATGACGACAGAGTGTCTCAGCCACACTGGAGTCTCCTGGTCAGAGGAGGCTCAGGGAAGGAGGCGGTGTAGGAGGCCAGGTGATCCCACCTGTTGGTCTGCAGACCGCCTGGCTCCCCTCCCACAGGTCTGAGGAAGCAGACCTCTGCTGTGGTGGCTCCGAGGCTCTCCCCTGTGCCTGGTGCTTCAACTGGTTGCCCAGGTGACCTCTCAGGTGGCTGCAGAGGCAGCTGGGTATCAAACCAGTAATAAACAGGGAAACACCCAAAGGGGGAGGCAGGTCCCTCCCCTGCTCCGCCTCGATCTTTCTCCTCCTCTTCTCTCAACCTCCCCTGTCCGGGAGTGCATGAGAGCAGGAGTCAGTCCCCCTGCCACTGTCTCTGGTAGTTTCCTCACCAGTGGCTGGAGAGGAGGTGGAGGAGGAGGATGTGGGGCTGTGAGGGGCGTAGAGTATAGTGAATCCCCGTGGGGTGGGAGGTGGGGGTGAGCCAGGTGACAAAAATTGGCCTTTGTTCCAATGGATCCAGAGCACCTGCCAGTGAGTATTCCGTGTGTGTGAATATGTGTGTGTTTTCAGGCAGGCCTGCAGATCTGCAAGGAGGTGGGTGTGTGTGGGTGTGCCACAGTGCATGTGGAGGGCTGCGTGTGTGTATCAGAGTGCACTCGGGTGGTGTATTTGTGCATGTGCAGGAGTGCTGGTGCAGAGAGGCTGGTGTAGGTAACTGTGTGTGCATGTGCAGGAGTGGGCATGGGGCTTTGTGTGTGGAGGCAGGTGGTGTGGATGTGCAGGGGTTTGCTGCTGTGTGTGCAGTCAGCATACGTGTGTACATGGATGCTAGAGTGGGTGTGAGGGTACCCGTGCCCAGGCTGTGGACGGGTGGGTGGAGGGCTGTGTGGGCTGGGGGTGGCAGATGGACTTAGGCTACTCTATCCTTTCACTGGGGCACTCGGGGCCTCTGGGCCTGAGGGGCTTGTTCCTAGTCCACCTACTTGGGCCCAGAGCACAAGGTCAGCCCCCTCTGTCTCTCACCCCTTCCTCACCAGACCTTGCCATGCCTGACCTGTTCTTTCTGGCTAGGTCATCAACAACTACCTGGATGCCAATGAGCCAGTGTCCTTGGAGGCCCGCCTGAGCCGCATGCACTTCCATGACAACCAGAGGAAGGTTGACTATGTGCTCGCCTACCATTACCGGAAACGCGGGGCACACCCAAGCCATGGCTCCCCTGGCCACTCACTGGCTATCATCTCCAATGGGGAGACGGGCAAGGAGCCCCGTGCTGGGGCTCCCGGTGACATTGAGCTGGGGCCGCTTGATGCCCTGGAGGAGGAGAGGAAGCAGCAGCGGGAGGAGTTTGAGCACAACCTGATGGAGGCCGGGCTGGAGCTGGAGAAGGACTTGGAGGTGAGGTTGGGCAGGTGGCAAAGGGCCACAGGAGGGGATGGCCCTGCAAGGCTGGGCTCCTTGTGATTGGTGTCACTGGCAGGGAGCCTTGGCTTTTTTCTGGCAGGTGGCATTTTTTTTTTTTTTTCTGGTGGGCAAACCAGATTTTCTTGTCCAAGGAATTGAGGAAGAGTCTTGGTATAGCTGGTGCCTCTGTCTAGGGGATCTCAGGGAGTGGGGTTGGGGAGGGGTACACCAATCTGTTCTGTGGGTGTTGGCTTAGTTAGAGATTGAAGGCAAGACATTTCTTCCTGGCTCCCCATCCTATGGCCTTCTCCACAATGGTTTCCTTGGGATGAAGACTCGGTTTGCCTGTTGAACTTTGGATCAAAATTCCTCTACACAGGATCTACTTCACTAAGGAGTGTCCTTGCCTGGGGCTCCCTGAGGAAGTTGATTGTTTCGGAACTGAACATTGGGCATATTTTATCAACTTGTGAGCTATATATACTCTCACCTCTGGTCAGTAGCTAGCCTGAGGGAATCCATGGAAGTCCATTTATCTACATATCTATCCATCCATCCATCCATCCATCCATCCATCCATCCATCCAT